GTTTTACGTTATGATAAAGAGGGCAAAGTATATATAAGACCAACCGTTTTTACAGCTCCGACCTTTCTTCTATTGTTTACTTTGTAAATCTTTATTCTGTCTCAAAACTTTGGTTGCTACATCAGAGACGTATTATACGTCTCTGCTATCATGCTGATCTTGCCCTTTTACAGAATTTATTGTCACAGCATGCATAAACTGTAATTTCAACATTCCTATACAACCGTGGATCGAACCCGCAACCCATGACTTCCTAGTCGGACTTTCTTCCACTGAGCTTAAATATATATACACACGGGACTTCTGTTAACCCTGCATCGGTCTTATTGACGAGGACCAAGATGAAACATCTTAAGACAAAGCACGGTCAGCTTAGCTTGTTACTGTGAAGATTATTTTTCTGCTTGATGCAAATTTTTCGCGATATCAATTCCCTCTAGCGCGAAGCTAGAAGGCGATCGTAATACTACGTACAATTTAATCTGCCACACATAATTATTTCCATTCTCGCATACGACCTTACCTTATCGAACTCGTATTCAACATGAACGGTATACAAAGTATGATAGTATAAAGCAATATACAGGGCTCGAAGACGAATGCCTATCACTGTCGGAATGATGTTGTGTAGCAATAGGTACCTATTGTGATTGTAGGCACTGGTTGTAGTTGGTATCCGTAAGTAATTGAGAACATATAGATAACTTACCCATCCGTTACCACACGTTTGATCACCGTTAATGGTGACGTCATTGATTGTGTCACCGTGATGAGGGGGGCCCTGGTCAGTATTTGACCTACAAACAAATGTCGATTTCATACAAGTATGGATGTCCCATCTGTTTTTATACTGTTTTGTGTTTTTTTGCAAGTTGGTTGTTATCACCCTGGAGATAGTTCCCTTCACTGCACCAATAAAGCGGTGCATTTTGAGCAGTGCACTATACAATCGAACTCCGTGAAATGTTTAGAATTTCTGTAGTTTTTAGTATAATATTGAATGGAAAGCTGTTAGAAAAGCTAAAGTAGTACCGCAATATTTAACCTGGACATTTTCTCGTTGGTACGGTAATCTTTTATTTACTGTTGCTGTAGCTTTCTTTTAAATATAACATGTTTTTTCCTGATCAGTTTAACTGCCCTCTGACTTTGTCCTAAAGGAGCGTGATTAATCTAAGGGAAACAAAAGGCTATGTTACCCTCAAACAATAGCAATATATATATATATCTGGCGCGTTCCAAGACTGTAAACGACGTTCATTCAAGGCATATCAACTAGCCATCTTAGGGGCGGGGGATGGCTGCCCCATACCCCCACGGGAAATGATTGAAATCTAGAAGCGCTGTGGATAAAAAAGTGTTGTTATTAAGATAAATATTTAAGCAGTAGCGATATTAGGCAGTCTTGTTGAAAACCTATGGTTTATCTGAGTCGAAAAAAACCTCGTCAAATTCAATATTTTTCAAACCTTACAGCATTTCACACCACCTCTAGGACCAGACACAATAAATACAAATTAAAAAGTACATTTGAGGGTTTTTGATGTGCATACAACTGTGTATTTGTATGGTAACCATATGTACCTGTCAAAGTTGTAGCTGCTCATGAGGCGCGTGAACCCGTATGGATGGGCCAACATGAAGGTGGTGGCGAGTTTGTATGGGCGTGGCTCGAAGTGGGTTATTGGACCACCTAGTGAGAGAATAGTAAAAAGAAATTAATTTGTTAATTGGATAATTATGCGGCCCGAGTCCGTCCCGTCCTGTCCCGTCCTGTCCTGTCCCGTGATCAAAGTGGTTGTAAGTATTTTTCGAACATCAAACACTGAAACTAATTTCACATGGTAATGTGGCATTTATGTCTTACAGACATTTTCTAGTTTTCTACAATATTTTCCATCCCTTAGCACAACGATTGATATTGACAGAGTTACATACAATACTATGATTATTTCAAGGCTATTGGCTGTATTAGCACCATCCGGGCAATCTTACCTCCTCCTCCGTGTCCTCTCTGGTTGTCATGGTTATCAATAAACACAACGACGTCATTAGAGTTGGGCATATTCCAAGCCTCACCCCAGTTGTGAAGATAGCTCGCCTTGTTTTCATTTCGAAAAACCTGTCCAAGTTTCGCGCCGAAAATAAAGTTCGTAACTCGCCCGATCCCTATGTATTCGGATGCACTAATCGGCTCCGAACCCATATCAATCACTTCCTGGAAGATAAACGGTTTCACTCCCGAACCGAATACCCCCGAGTTTAGATTAGTAAGTTTTCCGAACAACGATCTGAGATCTCCGGGCCACATATGTTTGGCGGCGTCTACTCGGAACCCAGCCACGCCAATGTTGATTAGATGGTTCATGTAGCCAGCAATTTCATCCCGGACGTAGTTCTTGCTGAGTTTCAGGTCAGCGAGACTGACCAGGCGACAGTTGCGGACTTCCTCGGCGTTGTTGTAGTCGTGAATGTTCATATCGCTGCTGTGGCACTCGCTTCCAGAGTTGAAGTCCCAGGCAGAGAATGGAACCCCGGGATACGACAGGCTGTCTCCGTCCCAGTGGGATCCCGCTGTCCCCGTGCCGGACCCACCTACTCCCGTCATGTGGTTGATAACGGCATCCGCGTATATTCTGCAGTATACATACATGTAAATGAACATTCTCTATTATGGTAAGGTAATTGTGATAGATTTACATGAATATTCATGTACAGCAAGATACCAAGGGGTCTTAAAAGCTAACATAAAATCGGGGTCGAGTTGTTTTAACTATTTCAATGTTGCGACTCATGGACTAAATATCCTGGAGCATGGCAGGACCATAGAACCAGTTCTGTCAGCATGGATGTATTAATTTCTTCATGCCCAATGTGTGTGTATGTGACATATGGTTTACACCCAAAATTCCTCAATTTGGGGGCACATCACTTCAGTCCAAAGAGCCACACTATCTACATTTATACTGAATATGGTGAGCTTGACCTTGTGTTGCTTCTAACTAGATATTTTGACAATACAGGCAATCCTTCGGACCAAGAGAGTCTAATCGAACATATGCTTGGGTATTTATCTGACACATGTTGGTCTACCTGATAATGACCTTGTTTGATCTGTTGACCTACCGGACGTTGACCTAGATGTACTTGTAGACCCACCTCACGTTGACCTTGTTGTAATTGTTGACCTACCTGACGTTGACCTTG